TATGACATTTTCATCAACCCTTGTGTATTAAATTTGGACCCTTACTCTTTAGATTGGGACTTCCCCTCAATCTACTCTCCTATCTCATCCGCCCCCTCTCAAATAGCTTAAATTTAGTCATAGTTGTTAATTCCAAAACTTTCCATATTTGTCAATTTAAAATTGTTTATTTTGAATTTTGGCACATCATATTCATATCAAATTAATATATATGTTGAAAATTTTCAAGATTTATATGGATATTATGTGTGATTTGGATTGTAACAGGTTAGAATAAGGGATGTTCATAAGATGGGTTGAACTTGGTTCCTCCCTGACCTGAAATTTTAATAGGGTCATATAGTTGAGCCCAAAATTGACCTGATAATGTACGGAGAGGACCAGATCAACTTGATTTGTTGAAAATATTATAGAAAAATTTATATTATGTATAGCTAAAATATACAAGTAGTATAAACCTGAAACACGGCCTGTTTTACGGTATATATTTTAAAATAATATTAATTTAAATATTATATTATGTTATGCAAAATGTTATTGATCAAGTCAATAAGTCTTATTATATAATTATCAAAAGAAATATAAATTTCAAAAGAATATGAGACATCAAGATAGTTTGGAATATCTTGAAGATGACTTAAATCGGTCCCCAAAATGCTTCACATCTAATTTTCAAAACCCAAACCTGTCAAAATTAGTTTCAGGTCAGGATGGGTTAGTTGGACTGTATGAGTCTTGAACACCCCTAGTTAGAAATTAGAATATCTGCTTGATTGTTTCCTTTTTTAGCCAGATTAGCCATACATGATTAGGCTAGATAATTTCTGTTATTTCTTGTTTATTATTTCCCAAATGATGGGATTCTCCTTGTACAGATTTGCTCTATATAACAAAATAAAACTTTTTATCTTATTATTTTATTCCTTCTTGTGACATGTTTTATACTTTTATCATTATTTAATAACAGTGATATTATTATATAAATTTGTACTTATGATCTTTACCTAAATTTGAAAATACCTGTGCAGTGCCCTAGAAATTACTAGTTTAAATAAAGTATGTTGCTTATAGACTGTTCATATTTGTCCAATTTTCAGGTTGTACAGTCAAGTGTGCTGCCTGATATGTTTAGGGAGACATATAATGCAATCACCCAAGGCAATCCCATGTGGAATAATTTATCTGTTCCAACGGGCACTCTTTATGCTTGGGACCCTACGTCAACTTATATTCACGAGCCACCTTATTTTAAAGATATGACCATGTCTCCCCCAGGCTCTCATGGAGTGAAGGATGCTTACTGTTTGCTCAACTTTGGAGACAGTATCACAACTGACCACATCTCTCCGGCTGGCAGCATACATAAGGACAGTCCTGCAGCCAGATTCCTTATAGAACGTGGGGTTGATAGACGGGACTTCAACTCCTATGGAAGTCGCCGAGGTAATGATGAGGTGATGGCACGAGGAACTTTTGCCAATATCCGCCTTGTCAACAAATTTTTGAATGGAGAAGTTGGACCTAAAACCATTCATATTCCTTCCGGGGAGAAGTTATCAGTCTTCGATGCTGCATCGGTAATTTTTCTAAACTTTCTAATATGGAGGTGAATTAGTCATAGGTATTTCCTTTGCATCTTATATATCCTTCACCTACTGTGCAATTGTATTATATTTAAATTTTCTGGTTGGAATTTGGAAAGATAAAGTCTGATAACCATAGACACAAATGATTCACGATCCCATATCTTTTTCATCCAACTATCCCGAAATTTGGTATATGGTTTCTTGCTAATCTTGTGTGTTGTCATATGGTCCGAAGTAGATTGCAAAATGGTCTGTCTGTAAATCAAGTTTCTAACACCTTAACCCTCATTGACTCCTTTTGGTATTGACACTTCTTAATTGGCAGAAATACAAGAGTGAGGGGCATGATATGATTATCTTGGCTGGTGCTGAGTATGGGAGTGGAAGTTCCCGTGATTGGGCTGCAAAAGGACCAATGCTACTGGTACATTCTGGAGGCCATCATTGTCACACCGATTTAGTCATGCATATTTTGTTGGTTTGCCTAATTCTGGATCCGTTCATTATTGTTTCTAGGGCGTGAAAGCTGTCATAGCAAAAAGTTTTGAAAGGATTCACCGAAGTAATTTGGTGGGAATGGGTATCATTCCTCTCTGTTTTAAGGCTGGGGAGGATGCTGATTCTCTCGGATTGACTGGCCACGAACGTTACACCATTGATCTACCAAGCAATGTGAATGAAATACGACCTGGTCAAGATGTCACAGTGGTGACAGATAGCGGGAAGACATTTGTTTCTACCCTGAGATTTGATACTGAGGTAATATTTGATGTTTCAACTTTGTTGGTGTTGGTGATAGTGATGTTTTTGTTGTGCCTTGATCGTATTCCTTGACATTCTCTCTTTTCTTGCTGATGTTTTGTTTACTTCATGTCAGGTTGAACTAGCTTACTTCAACCATGGTGGTATCTTGCAATATGTCATCAGAAACTTGATCGATGCCAAACATTGAGTCAGGGATAAACCAAGTTGTGCAGGTTGAATTGCTAGCACCCAGGGGCGCTGATTTTTAACTTTGGTCTAAATAAAAGTGGTATGGGTCAGCAGAGCTCCTTTCAATGTGGGAGGAAATCCATGCTATTCACTATTCAGCTATTGTATTAATAAACCGAGGAACTAGATGGCTGCTTCGAGGAAGAGTTATGACAGTCGTTTGTTGAAGAAATGTGATTTTTCCTCCCAATTTCTATCTGTCTTTGAGGATGAAAAGTCCTTATTACATTTTTATTGGTTTTGCAATTTGAGTTTTTAGGTATTATTTACCTTCTATATTGCTGCCACTTTCGGAAAATTTGGAAAAATGAGGAATGTTTATTGAAATTATAAGCAGTGTATGTGCCGTAATGCTCAAAAGGTATAAATGAATGATTGAAGCTTTGGACATTCACCCTAAGTAGAAAGAAAACATGGAAAGAAAATGATATTTGAAATTTTTATTTAAGAGGATATTTACAAGTCAAATTTTCTCATTTTTAATTTTCTTTAATTAAACAACACAAAGTGCAGTTAATTTTATATGTATACACTCACACTTTGCAATTATATATGATTAGGTTAGGATTAAATTACAAAGTAATTTTTAACCTTAACTATTAATGTGATTGGATGATATGAATTTACTTCATACCCTCGTTATAAACACTTCCTTCATTTGACACATAAAGAAGTGACACTAGCCGCTACCACAAGTCCACAACCACTACCTTATGGTCCTCTATATGCAGCATGCGAACGGATTTTTCAGCAATTCTGACTGCATAAGAGTAAGTATAGAAGGCCCGAGCTCACCATGCACCGAATCACAAGATCATACACACATACCTTTCATGTCTAGGCAATAGAGAATCGTTAAACGGAGAGGATGTAACTCTCACAGCACCCAAGAATAGTGGGAAAAGAACACGATCAATATCACTGAAGAAATGATCGCCGAGTGAAGAGTGAGAGCATATGAAGGATTTATTTGCAATATATTCATTATAATATACTAGTAACGGAAGAGGCACTTTGTGCCTCTTAATTTTTAAAAAAAATAAAAATAAAGTAAGAGAAAAAACATTAAAAGACTTTTGACTTTCTAACTTTTCCTTAGCAATTAAAGGATATATTGATCTATCTGAAAGTGAAGATCAAAATCCATTATAAAAGAGAAAAATCTTATTTATATATTGGTATAGATGATTAAACTAAATTACCCATTATAATTCACCTACTAATGGGTATAACTGAGATACTTTTCCAATAGTTCAATTTTATATCATGAAAAAAATAGTATATTTCTTTTATATATTAGTATAAATTAATACATTTGTCGTCACTAATTTAATGATTTGTCTAGATTAAAGATGAAATAGTGAAGAAAGAAGAAAAATAAAAGAAATATAAATACAAGAGAAATAAGGTAGAAATAATGTGTTGTTTAGATGGACAAAAAAAAATTAAAAAATATATCTCCAATTGCTTGAATGGGGAAAAGACAGAAAAGAAATGAATAAATTGTATGGAATGATTTAATTTACTTTCTAAAACAAAATTTATTATTATTATTATTTGAAAATATATTATAAAAAATTATTTAATTAGTAACAATTGGTTCATATTTCTATTCCAAATCATGGTTGAAGTGGAAGAAATTGTAATATGGTCAGTGCCAGGGAATTTTTCAACTTCTCCACAATTTTACTCCAAATAAAAAAACGAAATACTTAATATCCCCCTTAATTTCTCCCTCCTAAATCACCCGATACATAAAGAAAAAACTGAAACACTTATAAGCGGCTTGATCACCGCAAGAGAACTAATAATAAACAAATTGAACGCCAGCAACAATTGTGCTTGGAGATATAATTTTAAACAAATTGGGTTTAAATGGCTACTATTAACAGTGTTCCGCAATAGCACTTAAAAAAATTATGTACTGTAAAAGCCACCCGTGCTTTATAGGCTATAAATGTGCAAAAATTTAATAGAAAAAACCTACACACATATCCAAGATGGGAACACAACACTACACCTTAAAGAAAACAATGGAAACTCAAATTTATCATGCGCTAAAAAATATGTTCTCTATCTCAAATTAATATTACAAACTTCCAGATAAACTTTAAAATCAAAACCTCTCCTAATAGTATAACCTTACAAAGTCAACCCCCTCACTCGAGTTAAAAAAAAAATGATAAACATTGTATCACCCTGAGTAGACACTCTCATCTCTTTAAATTAAAATTATTTTATTTTACATTCTTCGCCATGGGGTAGTAATTCTTAGATATGCATCATACCAATAGTGAATAGTCACCATCTTTTTCTCATCAATTTACTATGTATAATTTATTCAAAAGTCTATAACTGTCATTGTCAACAAAAATTTAGGACAGGCCCCTCGTGTTGGGATTTAGGGGTAACAACACAAGCTGAAATATAACAATCATCACGAGTTAAAGGAGCTCTAAGGAAAAAAACTGGTATACTTGTTCCATCTATTGGTTTCATACATTTTCTCGAACATCCCTATTGTAAATTAACCGGTACATTTTTTATTATTATTATTATATTTGCTAAAAGCATAAATGAAAAGGGTAGGGGAAAAAATGAGTTAGCTTACAACTGAACATCCAAAAATACAGAATGCCACATCATGCAGCTCCTTCCAGATCTGAAGCATTATCGCGCAAAGTTTTAGCTGAAGCTCTATAATAATAGTACACCGTGGGCATGATGAATTCAGACAGGCCTGATAAATAAGTCGATCAACAGGAAAGGTGGTCATTGGTCAGCAACAACTAGCATATGAAGTTTTATCAAATTGAAAGCAACAACTTAGTATAATGCTAAGCAAGATACACTATCAAGCTATGAATACAGTTCTTTAATCAATGTAAAATGTTAAGCACAAGGATATCAGTTTTCCAATTTTAGCAATCTCGGTCCTAAAGAATAATTGAACAGTTTGCAGAAGATTCTAAGCTACCTTCACACAAGCACATATTTTGGGACTAAATCATGATCTTATCATCTTAAGCTCAATTGAATCCAACAACTTGAGAACTTGGTAAACATGATATTGCAACAAAAATCAACACAACACTAGTTATTACATTTTTATAAAACTGTATTCAGTGCAAGCAATCTATTGGTTAAGTCGATATGTGTAAAACATTGTCAGATAAGCATGAATGTCTTGCCTTAACTGTGAAGTGTAAAATAACACATTTTGACTATGTCTCAAGAAAAGGAGATAAATACCTATAGTAATGTATGTTCAAGCTTTATATTCGTCGACACGCATCCATTTGGTACTTGACCACTTGTTACCCTTAATCACTGGACAACCACCTAAAAAATAGTCAAGAAAACAGATTAGTTAATTTATCTCCTCTAGTCTCTACTAAAACTTCTTGTCATGTAGCAGCACCAATATAATAAGAGGAAGAATAAGAGAAACTAACCATGTAAGCTTGATGGATCTAAAGTTGCATCTGGCTTCATGCTCCAAAAAAGTAAAGCATCCCCACGCTTTGGCTTAATTGAAAGTCCTTTTTTCCCACATTCAGAAAGTTCATTCCACCATGGAACAGAACTGAAATTCCCTTTGGCAGCTGGGAACACTGTTTCACCCCCTTCTTCAACATCAGTACTGTATCAATAAAATATGAAAGCAACAGAGCATAAACACCTGTCCTCATATCCAATAGAATTTGATGTTAACAACTAAGAGAACACATGATGTCACTTACAGGTACATCAGCACTGTTGCTATACGTTGACCACCATTCTTAGTGTTAAAATCATCAAGAAAGTAGTCATAGTGAGGTTCATACTTTTGTCCAACTTCATAGTGCAGAATTTGAAGTCCTTCACCGTGCTCTGTATATTGTGAGACATAACTTATATAATGCTTTATGAAGTATAATGAAAAATAATCTACTATCCTAGATCTTACAGACCAGAAAGCTAGATGACAAAGACAACTGAAAACATTCCATTAAAAACTCATGTATAATATCTCCAACTACTCAACTTCTCAATCACAGACAACACGTTGCCCCAAAGAAAATAGATTTTATAGCTCCCAAATTGAACAGTTAGATACAATCGTCGACTTAAACACGCAGGTGAACCAGAAAAGAAAAAGAAAAAAAAAAAAGTTCGTCAAACAAGAGGTGCAAAATACTTACCTACAGGAATGAAAGTAAAGTCAGCAATTCTTTTCTCAATATCCCTGATAATCTTATCACGACCTCTGGGCAGAAAAGTTCCAGAGCTTGTACGTACTCTAAATGTTAAATGAATAAATAAAGATAAGATTTACCATTTTGGCAGTTTAAATAACGTAAAAGGAATCAAAGGATGCTTAATAGAGACTAATAGGAAATAGTCCAACCTGCTGTCTTTACTCTTTCCGGTTTCGCTATCGACAACAGTTGACTTTTGCATATTTGGCTTCGCTATGTCGATTAGATATTCACACTCCTCCTTCGTCTACCCAGATCATTCAAATAAGCTTTAGTATTTGGAAATGGAGACATTATAAATTTATAATGGATCACATTAAACTATCAACACCCCAGATTGGCATGAAACTTAACCAAGGTTCAAATACAGCACCATCCCATCACGCTAAAGTCACATTCAAACAATTAAATACACCATCAGAACATTGTGCCAGGCATAATCCAGCCAAGCAAAACTCAAAAAATTGTAACGATGTCATATCCTTCATTTTCTTTTACTGTCCTATGATCATTCGATCCTAGGACTTCATACATATTCCTCCAGTTCCCGCCACTAAGTCGACCCTAATATTCTATCATAACCTTCATAGCACAACGACAGTGAAAGAAAGTCAAACTCATCATCAAGACCTACAAGGAATTAATTAAAACACAACGAACTTCTGCATCAAGACAAAATCACTAAACTCCTATTTCCATTCTTCTTTAAGCACAATCCTCTCACCCTAGTTGCACACGATCCATAACACAAGATCCGATGATATTACCAAATACCTCCTACATTAGGACGCATTTCCTTTTGAATTTTCCATTATTTTCATAACGTAAATCACAAAACCACGAAAACGAGGCTTCAATTAATAACAAATTTAGCAAGGCGATCTTGCAGGCGCGATGAAGCAATTGCTACGATGAGAACGGAGAAACTAACCAGAAAATTGTGATAAACGAAAGCTCTAGGCTCCCACGAGACTACTTCCACCCACTGCTCTCCCCTCTCATCGTCATCGTCGGTTCTGGATTCAAGAAGAAACAAATTAAATAACAATAATAATAATATTAATAATCATATTAATAATATTAAGAATGGAATATGAAGAAGGTGAAGGTACTTGTGAAGTGTGTTGCGAGCAATGGAAGTGAGATCGTTAGGTTTAGGCAAATTGGAGCGCGAGGAACTCGGAACAGAGAGGATGCCGAGAGCGAGGAGAATGAGAACAAGGAAGGTGAAGACGAGGAACAGCGTGAGGATGAGCGTAGAGGATGACGATGACTTCCGAGGTGGAAGACGAGAGTGCCTTGGTTTGGCCATTGTTGTTGAGCTCAGATCCACCAGATCTGGAATTCAACACTTGGATTTCAACACACTCTCTTTCTCTCAAATCTCAATATATTCAACGATCGATTCAAGTTTCCACAGAGAGAGCGCTGAAATGGAACAAAACACTCAGGGCTTCTTCTCTCTCTCTCTCTCTCTCTCTCTGCTTCCTGTTTATTTTACTACACTTGTTGTACTACTACCAGTTTTCTAAAGTTCAAACAAACTAAAATATTAATCCATGCCACTTTAGTTTCATTTATGTTTTATATATAAAAAAATGAATAAACCATTTTTTTTTTAATTATGTTATAGGAGCAAATTATTCATCAACTTTGCTAATGATCACTAATGTTTTATTGATGTTTAGGGATTTTGACAGATTTTTTTCTTACATTAAATATTTTAGTGATGAAATGGAGAATTTATTCATAAAAATTTGCGTTCTACTTTTTATGTTAGAAAATTGTTTCTAAGATAGTTTTATCATTTATTAAATTATATTTGTGTTGAATTTTTTCGAATATTAAAAAAAATATGTCAAACATATTGACTAAAACTTTAGAATTTTAATTTATAAATTAAAACAAAGTGTCATTTTCTTTTACGCAAGATTAAAATTATGAAGAAAAAAAAGTATTAAATAAAGGGAAAATTTTAGATAAAATAAAGAAACTAAATCTGATATTTATAATTTTCACATGTAATAAGAATCAATTTATAAATATTTATCGGTAGGAATTAAAATTAGCATTTTTACATGAAAACAAAAAATGAAAAATAGTGTCAAGACTCAAGCGTGGGAATGAAATTTTTAAATAAACCTTTAATTTATTTTGAATAAACAATTAATGTTTTTATTTTTATGAAAGAGTTTTTACGGTAATTAATTATTTTATTTAAAAATAAAATAAAAATATTAGCATGAATTTTATGTAAAAGAAAAATGAATACAACTATACAAGTAATTGTAGACTATTTTATACGTATAATGTTCTCTCTATCTCATTTTATTTATTTATTTATCGGCATTGTAGTAGATAGAAAATAGAAAGAAGGTAGTAGTTAGATTGAGTTCCATCGAACAATAAGGTTTAATTAATAATTACTGTTATTCAGTTATTCCACAATTCAAAGCTCAAATACTGAATTCCATTGGTTAAAAATTGGTTTTCCTTTAATTTTCTACTAACAAAATTTGTTCGTATGAAATATAATTTAATACTCTAATATAAATTTAATATAGTTCTACTTTTTCTCACGTTGTGAGTAATTAAATAACTTTTAAGTTGACGTTAGCGAATGCTACTGTAGTCTTTAATTTATTTATTTTGAATTCAGCATAATTAGCTGGCAGAGGATGATAAGGTAGAAAAGAAAAACAAGTTCTCTGACAAATTATGCTTTTGTATGAAAACATTATTAAACAAATGTCTAATGGGTGTGTGTTAATCATTTCATATTCCACGAATCAAACAAACATCCAGCTATGCTTAGAGCCTCTGTATTGGTGTGTAACATCATTACCACATTAATTCTGATTTATTTTATGGGGTGTTTAAATTTTAGTAAAGTTACTTTTATAAATAACTTTACTAAAATTTAAGCAACTCATAAAATAGATCAGAATTGATATGACAATGATATAGTACCGAGGTTGTTTATAAGCGACTCCATTGAAAATGCTCTTTAACAACTTCTACGAAGCTGACATAGGAACACAACATTTTGCGATCATATTACAATTTTTTTCAGTTCTATGCACCCAATTGAGTTTCAAGTTTCAACCAAATAAAGTTGCATGAAAGCGAATAATTATCTCACTTCCTAATAATATTTTCCTATAGTTTTATTCAGTGTTTGGTGAGGGTGTTAATTAATTCTTCTATTTTTCTTCCAAGATGAGGGGTTAATTTCGAATAATTCTGACTCATTTTAATTTATCTGTGTTTTTTTTTTTAATGTGTTTTGGTTTGATTTGTTGTGGATTGAATCAAAATTTTGATGGATCGTATAACAGATGAAGCCAACTCATTCTTATGCTAGCTGCGGGCTACTTGAATTGGTCCATTAGTTGACTAAAAAAAAGTTTGGTCGATTAACTTGCATTTTATTTATATAATAATTAAAGTTGAAAAAATAAACTACTTTGTACGAATTATTTAAAATTATTGATTACTTAAATAGATAAATATTGTTGAAAAGTGGATAAAAGTTTGGTATTTATACGTTATGAAAGGATGGAAATTAATGGGATGAGTTATAAGCAATACTTTGTCTGATTTATTTTTGGTGTAAAAAAAAGTCTGATTTATTTTCTAAATTTCAATTATTTAGCTGGTGATATTTTTCAAGATTCAGTCTTACCTTTTTAAATGTTTGATTTGTTTTAAAAGTTTATTTTGCGATAAATCTTTTAAATAGGTTTTAAAACTTATAACTAAATAAATTAATAATCTTAAATTTTCATAAGCTTGAAATTTTAAATAAACTGATACATATATAATTTTAAAATAGAGTGAATTATAATACAAAAATTAAAATATTAAATAGTTCTTCTCTTTTATGTCAAAACGTGCCATTTAATTTAAAATTATTAATATAAAATACATTAACTTTCCTAAGAGATATAAATATTAAATTATCATCTATTTGAATATTGTAGAATAAAATACAACTTTCTCCCTTGAAATAAGTGAGTGTTACATTTTTTTTAATATAAGTTACATATTTTACACCAAAGATAACTATATTTGATTTGGACAAGATCATTATGTGAATTTTATAATGTCACTCTCCTATTATATACTATATTAAAGAATTTAATATGTTTTAAATTTATGCAATTTTGTCAATTTTTATTTTTAACTCTTTAACAAAATTTATTTGATTTTACTTTCCGAATATTTTTTCTATGGACAAAAAAATTGACATCATAGATTAAAATGTTAACAAAAGAAAAAAATTTAAGGATTACAAGTGAAATTTAGCAAAAGTTGAGGAATTAAAATTAGTGAAAAATTTGTTCAAAAGTAAAATAAAAAATCAATAAAAGCTTGATTAGTATAAACATATATAATCTTATATAACATTATATAATTTACAATGTTTAACTTAATATCGTTAAAAAAATATTTGTTATAAAATTTTTAAGTATTTTATTTAAAATATGAGCTAAAATATTTTTAGTTTATTAAATTATCATTCACCCCCTGATAAAAATTATAAAATATAAATTCAGAGAAAAATTATATATATATATA